GCAAATCGGCGATAGTCTATGTGGTCGCTGCATCCACCCACAGGCCGGAGAATTCTACGTTCACAGTCCGCCCATACACGCGAAAGTGGGAGCAAGAGACCATGTCGAGGATTCGGGAGGTCACCATGAGATCCCTGCCGCCAGCTTTCAGTTTCATTATCCCACCGAAGTGCACGGTGAGGCACGACGTGCCGGCGGTGGTCTTCTCTACCGGCGGCTGCAGTGGAAACTTCTTCCATGCCATGAGTGACCTCATCGTGCCACTTTACATCACATCCCGTGAGTACAATGGCCGTGTCCAGTTTCTTATCACCGACTACCAACCTGAATGGGTGGACAAGTTCAGGCCGATCCTCGCCGCACTGTCCATGTACCCGGCTATAGACTTCGACGCTGACACCGCTGTGCGCTGCTTCCCGTCGGCGCATGTCGGGTTGGAGAATCACAACAAGATGCTTGCGATAGACCCGAGTCTCTCCCGCAATGGTTACACTATGATGGGATTCCGTGACTTCCTCAGGTCTGTCTTCTCGCTGCAACGGCCATGGTCTAAACCCATAAGCCGGAGCTCAGGGCAGAGGCCTCGGCTCAAGGGAGCTGACGAACGAGAAGCCGATGCCATCACCGCCATGGAGAACCTCGGCTTAGAAGTGGTGGCTGCGAGGCCAGACGACGTCAGCGATATGGGCCACTTCGCGGGGGTGGTGAACTCCTGCGACGTGATGGTTGGCGTGCATGGTGCTGGGCTGACAAACATGGTGTTCCTGCCTCACAACGGCACCGTAGTGCAGATCGTTCCCTGGGGTGGCATGAAGTGGGCGTGCTGGTATGCCTTTGGTGAGCCCGTGCAAGGCATGGGTCTCCGGTACGTCGAGTACGAGGCAACGGCGGAGGAAACTACATTGAAGGAGAAGTACCCTAGGGACCACCCGGTGTTTACCGACGCCATGTCCATACATCGCCAGGGTAAAGCTTGGGTAACCTTCCTCGATGGCCAGAACGTCACCCTGGACATCGATCGGTTTAGAGGTGTGATGCACCAAGTGTTCCTGTCCATCACGACAGAGTAGAGTTGGAAACATCCAGTCAGTGGTGTGGTGGATCAACAATGTGAACTTTTGCTTTTCTTTGATGGTTTTAGCTTTATTAGCTCCTAGTGAGGAGTCGCTAGCTATATTGTAGAATAGTACATGAAAACATTGGAAATATAGCAGCACAGGTTCACTTTTTGGTCGTTATGTCTGTTTACGCCGGAGGGTGTTCGGAGCAGGGGCTTGCACGCCCAAGGGGTTGCATACAACCACAACGCAACAGGAATATAGGGTGATCGACTAAACCGATCTAGAGACCAGTTAGGTTGATGTTGAGCCCGTTTTTAGCTTGGATAGACTCCCGAACTTCTCTCGGGAAAACTCATCAGCAAGGAGCACATAGAGATTGCCCTAGGACCAGCAAGGTCGCCTAAAATGCTGTCAAATCTCGTCCTGAGATTTGACGAACAGCAAGAGGGGATGGAAAATGGACAAAGGGTGTAGTAGATTGACTTTTTGACGATTCGAAGTTGGGATCCTCAATCGACTGTCATCCTCTCATATATATAGAGGAGATGATCTTATCCCAGTAGAAAACAAGTTCAAAATGCATTCTTCAACTTTTCCACGTCAAAAACATGCCAAAACCCGATTTGGAAACTAACCGACCCAGAATCAGCAGTGGAGTTGGCTTAGCCGACTCCTGGAATCAGCTTAGCCAACTTTTACGGCAGGATCAGGGGCAGTCGGCTTCGCTGACCCTAGCAGTCGGCTAAGCCAACTTCGACATGTTGATTTGGCTAAGCTGACTGGTGGTGGCTCGCATGGCTCGCCGTCTTCTTCGCGTGTTTCGTTTGCTATTTTGTCGCACCACATCACCTCCAGCACGTATATGATGTCTATGACTTGTTGGTGATGCACATAATCCTCCTTGGAACACTTTTGAGTGTCAACAATGTCCATAGTGCTTTCTTGTATGCCTGAATTGTTGTAGCATGATCTGAGGGGTCCATGCTTATCACCGGCGGTGGGAGCAGTCTTGGAGCTAATCCTGTTTGAGATTGGTCTATTCTCAGGATTCTCTCCAATACAGAGGGGTTGAGCTCAGTATTGAAGGTGAGCGGATTTAGTCAAAATACAATGGAAATGGGCTTCAATTTCATCTCTCAATGCCAAAGACATTCAAACAACATAATTAAAAAAAGTCGATTCCAATTGCAAATTCCAGGTCTGAATATCTACATTCGAATGGGATGTTCTGTATATTTTCAAATTACACACTTTGTACATAGTTAATTTCAAATTACACATAATATTATATTCCACCATGTAGACCAAGTAAATTTGTATGCATCAGATAAATATTTATTTTGATATCTTATCAAGCGTGGAAAATAACTTAACAAAGCACATAGTAATGAGTGACAATTTTAAGTTATATCAATAATTCATGTTAATAAATTTCCTAAGTTGTTAACTTAAATAAGTTTAAACATTCAGAAGAAACATTTTGTCATATTAATAGTAACAATTTAATTTAAACACTATGCGGTTTATAGAACAATACTACTATATATATAATTTTTTTGATACAACAAATTCAACGGTCTGTTTTATAAAAAAAATACTACTACATATATAATTTTTTAATATAATAAATTGAACATACTGAGTGTCATAGTGCAAGGTGAAATGACTATTTGAGCCATTGTAAGAGCCAATGTGGTAGCATTGGACATAGACTATTTTCTTAATAAAATAAAAAAGAAATTTTGAATAAAAGATATATAAGCAATAATGTTTGAACTTAACACATAGACAAAATAGTTGAAACTAGATTACAAGTTAACAATTTAAATATAGATTTATTGCCATAGCAAGAGATGCAACCATGAGCTCATATCACTTAATAAGCTTAGGATCCAAGTATCCAACTACATACATACCATGCTTAGAAAAAAAGGTAAATTCTAAAAATTCTACTAGGAGATCCCAATAGAGCCTCCACATTAAGTCTCACAAGACCCACTATAACAGCAAAAGATAAATTCTAGAAATCCTCACAAAATCATAAATATCTAACTATTAATTCAGTAGACTCTAGTCAATATTGATAACAATAGCCATTGTATCTATTTTGTTTTCTAAACAATTACAAACCTTTATGATTGTGTAGAACAATATAAATAACACATAAATCTATATTTAAATTGCCCACCGATACCACTAAGAAACATCATAAATAACCTAATTATCCCCCTACTATTATGTTAAATCATCTATATAAGCCCTAAAATTTGTATATAGTTACCTACTTGGTCTTATGATAGATAATTTACATAACCCCTTAAGTTTTTGCATCTAAAAATTACCACTTATGTCATCATAAAACAACTAAAATATCCCCTCAAATATACATGTAAATCATCAATTTCTTCTATAACAAGAAATGTTTAAATAACCACAAAACATATATATTTCTACGTTATCCACTTTTAGTAAATTAATACATCAAAATTTGATAAAATAAACATACATGTTGTACCATCGTGCAAATCATGTACCTATGCATGCATGATAGGTAAATATATATGTTAAGTTTCACCACTCATGAAAAATATTTCCTTAATGACACATAAACTAATGATAATAACAAATTATTTAGCTTTATACTAATAACCATGTTATATATTTATATAAGATGTTACTTTAGATATATTTACACATTTTAACAAAACAATGTTTGACATATATGTTTTGATTGATAGCATAACCATTACTACATATATTTCCTGATAAGAAAATTCAATTATCTTAGAGAAGTAGGGGAGATTAAAGCAGCCCACAGGTCGCTATATCTTCCTGCTACTTAGAGTAAAGCATTATTATAAACCTTAAATATTAATATCCAATTGAGGTTAGTACCGCTACCCGTCCTAGATTTTACTTCAACTTCTACCATTGATCCTGTGCAACGTGATGCAAGTTTTAAATGATTGTTTATGCCATCGTATTACTTAAATGTGCATGTTATGATATCAGATTCTTATCTTTAAAAAGTACAAAAGGATAGGATAAGCATAGTAATTTCAACTTAACTTGAGAATAATAAAACTATAGCAAACTAGCAATTGGAGATAAAATTTGAAAAGTCAAAATTTAGATTCACGACATCATAATATTTTAGCTGCAAACACATAATTAAAGCTAAGGTTTGAACTAAATGCATATTGGATGTTGCGCAAAGAAAACACTATAGATACAAACTAAAAATATATAGATCAGTCGTTAAGTTTGTTACGATCGTATAAATAAAGACCGCAAACTATCTCTTGTGCATATTATGTTAGAAAATGAACGAAGAGAAAAAAGTACAAATTAATATAAATATTCTTATTAGTAACAACTACTAAACAATAATTGATACATTTGCCTTCTAGAATTCTAGCCCATGCGAAAGGACAGGATGATAGACTAATTAGTCCTAGTAAGGTTTTGGCCAGCTAGTGAACTAACTAAAAATTAGTCCACCTATTAACCTAACAAATTGGATTTTTAAAGGGACTAAAATTAGACATCTAGTTGTTACTCCCTGAATTCAAATGGGGTCTAAGAACAGTCCCACTATCCAAACAGGGCTAATAACCGTCGGTGGCTCAGCAGGTTGCTACTAAATTAATGGTGGTTTTCCAAGACACTGGAACTAGGAATAAAAATACGCCGCTCTGCAGTGATCCTTTTTACTAATTAGCTCCCTCTTCTATACGTCGACGCTATTAGCGTGCATACATGTGCGTGGGATTAAATGCTGCGCACAAGCAAGTCAGCCCCTAGATTGTTGACCTCCCAATTCAAAGCACCGATCGATATGCGATATAAGAATGGAATGCTTCTCAATAAGCTGCGAGTTAGCTCCTGGTACTAGTGCAAGGCATTTCAGAGGTTTGTTGCAAGAGCCTATGCGAGACGATGAGGCGGCACGAGAAAACGAAGCAGCAGCATGGGAGCGGCGGAAGACGGCCGGCACTGTGGCTCCTTCTGCCTCCTCTTCTAGTTCTGGCTGTGATCAAGACTAACTTACTGCCGCAGGGTGCGCGCTGTAAGTCATCCTACCTTCCAGTCAATTCCATATCAGCTTCTCTCTGTTTCATCTCTCCTGATTACCATTAGAGTGATTTTGCTGCTCTCCTCTCTTTCATGAATGCAGTGTGGCATTTTGGCCATTTATGCTTTGATTTTACATGACAAAGAGCCCTCAGTTTAATTGTGCTGAACCTCCAAAATATTCTCGAAAATCCACAGTAGTGCTTACAGTATATATACAGTTGAAGGTTTAGGGAACACATAGGAATTTTTATGTTTATTACTTAGAGTAAAATGAGATACATTTTTTAGAGGAAATGTATGCTTTACCATTTCAAGCTTTCTGACAATAGGCTTTAATGAATCTAAGAACAGCTCACTTACAAAACATTGCACCTTGGCTCTCTGCAGTTAAGGAGACCGGATTTGACAAATTAACAAATGAAATGGTTCAGAGAGTTTCATCTTTAGGTAAGCTATAAGATTGTATACTGAACTCTCTGCTTTCATCTACATCTCGATGTGAAATGCTTGACACATAATGGTGCCTATATGTTCAAGGTTTGGATAGTGCAAGTCGGCAGCAACAATCACTTGACGCAGAATCTGCAAAAGGTATGTATGGCAAACAACTGTTATATTAACCATCATACAGCGCTTTTTTGAGCAATCTTTTCGAATCCCTACCATGGATTTACGCACTTCAATCTGCAGAACATGTTGAGCAGTAAGCAAGTAGTCTGTTACTCTGTTTCCTAGTTGTCGCCACTTCAACCACAGCCGTCGGATAGAGCATTCATTATTAATTAAAAAGAAATAGTTATATTATGTTTATTTAACATATATATACAATGTCTTCCGTTTGCATTACGTTGGAGTCACCCTTATCATTATTTTTTCCGAAGGGACGGCAAAAGCTTTGACCCTTATCATTATATATGTGATATTAATCCAGTTTTATTTCCTGCAAAGTACAACCAACAAAATCATATTCTTGCCACAAACGTGGCAAAAGATGGTTCTTTGAGAAATTCAGGTACAATTGGCCTTCCCCATTTAGCTTGATTACTGTTTCGGCATTACACGAGGGGCTATTTGTCATGTTTTTCACAGTTTGCCAACTAATGAATGCAATAATTTTGGCTGAAAATGGTAACAATAATTATTTTTAGGGCATGTTTGGATTCCATGAATTGAAACCAATGTTTAAAAAGTGCTTCCCATTTCATTATTAGATTATTTTCCAATTCCTGAACCAAAACGGGCATTAGAGAATTTTCTAATCTGTCTTGTGTGGTATGCAGATGTAGCAGAACCACCGACAAGCAGGAGCAAGCTAACCTGCAACTGGAGCCATCGTCACTTAGACACCTGCAGAATGGAAGGTGACTTGCGGATCCATGGCAAAGCCGGCACTGTCTATGTCCTTTCATCATCCACCTTCAACCCAAACAACTCGACCACCACAATCCGGCCGTACACGCGGAAGTGGGAGCAAGGGACCATGGAAAGGATTCGGGAGGTCACCATACGGTCCACCGCGCCAGAGCCTTACAGCTTCGTTATCCCACCCAAGTGCACGGTGAGGCACGACGTGCCAACGGTGGTCTTCTCTACCGGCGGCTGCGGCAAGAACTTCTTCCACGCCATGACTGACCTCATTGTGCCACTCTACATCACAGCCCGTGAGTACAACGGCCACGTCCAGCTGCTCGTCACCGACTACCAGCCTGAGTGGGTGGCCAAATTCAGGCCGATCCTGGCCGCACTATCCATCTACCCGGTCATAGACTTCGACGCCGACACCGCCGTGCGTTGCTTCCCGTCGGCGCACGTCGGGCTTGAGAGCCACAGGATACTTGGCATCAACCCGGCTCTCTCCCGCAACGGCTACACCATGATGGGATTCCGGGACTTCCTCCGGGACGTCTTCTCGCTGCGGCGGGCATGGGCGACACCCGTAAGCAGGAGCAGTGGACGCAAGCCTCGGCTCGTCTTTGTTCTGCGGCGCCACTCGAGGGCGGTGACGAACGAAGCCGATATATGCCATCGCCGCCGTTGTGGATCTCGGCTTCGAGGTCGTTGCTGCGGGTCCGGAGGACGTCCGCGACATGGCCAAGATCGCGGCGGTGGTGAACTCGTGCGACGTGATGGTGGGCGTGCACGGCGCTGGGCTGACCAACATGGTGTTCCTGCCGCACAACGGCACCATAGTGCAGATCATCCCGTGGGGAAACTTGAAGTACCCATGCCGGTTCGACTTCGGCAACCCGGTGCCAGACATGGGACTGCACTACGTCGAATACGAGGTGAACGCGGAGGAGACCACGCTCAAGTACAAGTACCCCAGGGACCATCCGGTGTTTACCGACCCAGTCTCCATAGAGCGCACCGGTAAACTTTGGGAGACCTTCCTCGAGGGCCAGAACGTCACGCTGGACATCGACAGGTTCAGAGAGGCCATGCAGCAAGTGTACAAGTCCGTCACCACTGAGTAGGGTAGCTGCTGCCAGGCATGAAGTAGAGGGACGATTAATGTGTAATTTTTCCTATTCTTTTGCTGTTCTGTTCTACAACTGCAATACTGGCTCATCAAGTGGGGCGGAGATGTCCTTTAGTGTAGTGCGCAATACATTTTGATCTCAACCAAAAAAGAAGTCCTTCTGTTCCATTGACTAAAGAGAAGTTAGTTGAAAAAGATACGCAAATGTAGTGCGCATATTGCCTGTAATTGCATAACCTCTGGGTGACGTTCTATATCAGGCACAGGGCAGGTAGATGAACTAAACGGTCGAATTCACAACCACATCTACTTGAAGCTTAAATCCTAGCTAGCACCCAAAAACACTACTAAACTGAACGCAAAATATTTCTGGCATAAGAACAGGATTATGTGCTTAACTATTTCCCTCATAAATCAATAGTTTTGCACTCAAATACTCAATGACTCAACTTTTTACTTTGTCGAACAACAATTGCATAAGTGCTAGCCAAAGGCTTTAGAAACCAAGAATCATCAACATCTACTCTAGCCATGCACACATCTCCTATATTATTTTCTATTAAGATCCAACAGCTACTAGGGGCTATAAATGGGCTCTAATTATTATTTGCAAGCTCTTGGTGGGGCTCCTCCCCTGGTGGGGCATGTTTTTATAGGCCATGTTCGCTTTTCTTATAATCCGTAATTTTCAGCTTGTTTTTTCAGCCGGAACAGTATTTTTCTCTCACAATAAATTAGCCGGAACAGTGTTTCGGCTTATTTTTTCAGCGAAGCGAACGGGGCCATAAAAAAAAGGCTATAAATGAGCCCTAAATATTATTCGCAGTTCTAGGCTAAGTAATTGGACCCTAAACACAAGAGTAGAGGCCCCCAACATATAATACACCCCAAACACTACATCTCAGCCCAATAGGTCAGGTTGAGTAGGCCAAAAATGGAGCGTATGGTAAGCCTACCATTTACTCTAAATATGGTTCCTTTGTCTTACATGTGGGACCCTAGTTGACCTGTTCTATACCACAATTTTGTGGCACACACAATGTGAGGAAAGTGTTCTGTCATAATATTCTAGTACATATGTTTGTGAAGTTTCTCGTGATGATTTAAAATTTGTCATAAAAGTAAACTCCAAGTAAAAGTCTATGTCCCATCTTATGGAGAACGTCATAGATCAATGATAGATTACTCGATTGTTGAAACATTGGGATGTCATAGTCTCATCCTCCTAATGTAGAGGCGTTTCGCAGCTACACCTGGTTGGGGCAAGCTCGATCTCAAGAAATGGGGGATGTCATAGTCGCAGCTCATGATGAAAAGATGCCGGAGTCAGGATTACACCAGAAGACGGGTGTTCCAGAAGCAACAGAGCAAGCTCAGACTGGAAGAGCGGCCAGGCTTCGGCACTCGCCGCACCGGCCCAGAGTCCGCGTTCAAGCAAAAGGCCCAAACTCAGTCTGGCAGTAACCATCCGAAGGGGGTGGTTTATCATCTCCTGCTGGAATACTTCTGTTACGACCTTGTGATCATCGCCTAGCCATGTTAGGAATGAACCTATCACATCACAGGATAGTACTGGTCAGCGACAGGCAGAGTAATATTGTACTGAACACTTGTCTTATGACCAGCATCGTCTACGAGCGTCGGAATAAGCGCAAACATGGCTAGGCGGGCGCGGCGCGCGGAGGACGGCGAACCACTCTATGTAACTAGACGGATTGTCTCGAAAAAAAATTGTACCTAGAGGGATTATCAGACAACTGGTAGGCTTGAATAATACGGAGCCGTAATAATCAAGTTTTATCATGTAACAACTTCACAGTTCCCCTGTCGTAGTTTTCTTTTCTTTTTTTGTATCCACCAAATAGTAGAAATAATCTGTCGCATGCTGTTTTGTCAATACCCGATTTTGTCCTGTGCTTGCGACCGTCTCTTGATGAATGATGCCTTTCTGCTGTCAATATCTGAAAGCGATTATAAGAATATTATATATATACAAAGGGTGCGTGTCCTATATTATATATGAATGATGTACTCCTAATTAAATCAAGTACCTAGAGCATTGTTACTGACAAAAGTGAAGACAAGAGACCTAACCGGATATCCCTAATAATAATAACTAAACTAAAGTTAGTATAATAATTTCCACTCGTAGTAGTTATGTCACTATCATAGACGTGGACAAGATTACCTATTTTATTTGTTCACACTTGAAAATATGTCCCATCCAATCTAAAATACTTAGCGGTATTTTCACATTATCTAGAGTTTAGTCTGTAAATGATATAAAAGAATAAAGTTACCAAATGTACTACCTAATGACAGATTTGACAATATTTATTGAATGCAACCAATGATTTAGAAATCCAGTCAAAACCATTGCAAATTAGCTCGTAACATTAGTAGAGTAGTGTCAAATATTTGATAAGTATTATAGGATAATAATAGTGTCGGTGTTTCAGATCACCGGCTAGTAAATTTGTATCTGCGCGTCTGGCCCAGATGGTGTGCTCGAAGGACACAAGGATTTATAATGTTTCGGGCGGAATGTCCCTACGTCCAGTTTGCTGCTGCTGCTCGTGTTACCGGCACTAGTTTGTACTAGGGGTTACAAACGGGCGAGAGAGAAGGTCACAAGTCTCTGGTGAAAAGATCGAACGGAGCTGAGTCATGTTCACCTCGTTCAGCCGTGTGCTCGTTGCCCCTCCTTGGGGCATCCTGCTTCCCCCTTTTATAGGTGAAGGGGAAGGCGCAGGTTACAGAGAGAAAAAAAGGAGAAAAGCGAGAGAGAAGAAGGCCTCCAGGGCCGTCGGGTCCTTCTTCTCCTTCATGTGGGTCCCGTCGACGCTCTTGATGGTGATGGGGACGGCACCATGTTGGGCTCCTCTTCTCCACTGGTGCCATGCGCCGATGTCATCAGCTGGTCGTGGCAACCCATCCCGTCCCGGCGGACGGCTTGGTGAACCGACGTGCCTGTCAGCGGCCGTACGGGGAGTAGGCAACGCAGCAACCACGCACCCGTCACTATTGGCGATGTGAACCCCCGGGCGTGGCCTGACGTCACCACGGGTCACGTTGAGACGTGCCCGCTTCCTTCCCGGTGTCAGAAGTTTGACCATGGGGTTGTACCCTTAGACCCGTAGTGGTTAGAGGCGGTATGGATCCCCGTCGAGCGGGACGGAGCCCGTGCCCTCAGGGTCGGGCGGGATGGCTCCCGTACCCTCGGGGACAGGTGACACGGGGCCCGTGCCCGAGGGGTCGGGCGAGACGGAGAACGTGCCCTCAAGGTCGGGTGGGACGACTCCCGTACCCTCAGGGTCGGGTGACATGGGGCCCGTGCCCTCAGGGTCGGGTGAGACGGAGCCCGTGCCCTTAGGGTCGGGCAGGACGGCTCCCGTACTCTCAGGGTCGGGTGACACGGGGCCCATGCCCGAGGGGTCTAGCGAGGCAGAAACCGTCCCTTCGGGGTCGGTCATGACTGAAATACGTCCTCGATTATCTAGGCGAATTTGTCGTCCGCGGTCCTCAGATCCCTTCTTTGGGTAACCCTAATATTGATACCCGATAGTAGCCCCCGAGCCTGTGGAGGAGTAGCATACTCCTTCATAGGATTTTTCGAATGGAGAGACTTCGAGGGCTTCGATCTTCTGCTGCCTGTGGGATGCCTTGGTGGGTTGCGATTTCCTTCTGTCGTGATCGGACTCCTTGGGAACATGTAGCTATAGGATTCGAGGGGCCGAAAAAGATTTCTCTTGATTCCGATCCCTCCCTAGGATCCGATCAATCTGCCATTGTCATGCGACCGCATATTCGATCTCCTTACGAGTCCAACTTCCCTTGAGCCCCTGCGCGTCGTAGGGGTCCGGTCAAGGGGTTAGCTCATCTTGTGATCGTCCTCCCTCAAGCGTTTTTTCGACAAAACAGAGAGGCTGAGCCGTGCCATGTTTTCCTCGATGGACAAAATATGGTGCTTGGTGAGCTGTTAACGGGCTAGTGCGAGTGGGGGCCCGGCTTCCCATTCACGGGAATCCAGCATGGGTCAGCTGGTGACCGACTCCAGATTCTTGGCGGCCAATCCATATAGTTCTTAGGTCCGTTCAACCGGTCCCAAGGGCTCGCTGCCTTTCTTTGAGGAAAAACCATGGACTGTGAACCGACCAAGACTCGAACGTGGGCCGAGATGCCTGCGGCGCTCATGCGTCTGGGTATTAGCCGCTAGCGGGCCCATCCCTTTCCACCCCTCACTCTAAAGGTGCCCCGAAGCGGTTGTGAACATGTCGGTGGGCCAACCTTTGAACTCCTAGGCCTGAATGGGCCGTGGGAGCATTTTTAGCTCTGTATCCCTCCTTACCTGTGGCAGTTCTTGGCCCATCGAATGGGGCGAACTGTCATCCAGCGCGTCCTTCGAGGGAGAGGTCAGAGGTGGCGTGTACACATTGCTCGGAGAGGCAATGTGACGAGGCGTTGTGGGCGCGTTCGAGGGAGCGGTTAGAGGTGGCGTGCACATGATTTTTGGGGGGGCAATGTGACGCGGCGTAGCGGGCATGTAAATCTAGGCGAACGGTTCGCCTCTCGCCTCACCCTGCCTTATAAATAGCGGCCTCCTCCTTCATGTTTCGGCAAACTAAACCACAACCTTGCCTTCTCCATCTTTTCTGCCACCGTCGTTCGGATCTGCTGCCCTTGCTCATCTGCCGCCAGTGCCCTAGATCCATAGCATTTGCTTCTCCACCGCCGCCAAAAAGTCCTTGCTCCTTCGTCTTCGCTTTCCATGGAGTTGTGGTACCACTCCGACATCACCCACGCACGCTTGGAGGGCCTCGTCAAGCGTGGTCTTCTTCACGGGAGGACCGACGCGATGGAGTGGCTGGTTCTCGGCCACGAGGATGTGCCGATATCACCCGACGGTTACATTGTCTCCTTTGCGCCCTTCCCAGTGTTCGTCTAAACGACCTAAACGGCCGATTAAACGGCCAATAAACGATAAACGGTGGTAAA